TGTGGGGGGTTCAGGGCAGAGGGCTGGGTGTGTGTGGGGTGCAGGGCAGAAGGCTGGTGTGTGTTGGGGGGGTCAGGGCAGAGGTGCTCGGCTCGTGAGGGTGCTCCCAGCCCCCTGCCCTGAGCGGCTCAGGGCAGGGGGCTGGAAGGGATATGCCCTGTTCCACCCGCTTCCCCCAGGCTCTGTCCCTACCTCTCTCTGCCTGCTCTACGGAGCTGTGTGCACGCTGCCGCTCTTTCCCCTCCCCCTCACTAGGGCCCAGCAGCTGATTGGCCAGGGACGGAGAGGAGGTGGGGCAGGAAAGCACCACTGGGGGAAGAAGCGGGGGAGGAGGGAAGCTTGGCTGCTGCAGAACCAAGCTTCTGCCTCCTGCCCCCCGCAGGGGAGAGCGGTGGGCGGGGGGGCTGAGTGGGGCTGGGGGCCGGGACCGCGTCATGGGAGCTGCGTGCCACTCAGAATCTGCTTGCGTGCCGTGTTTGGCACGTGTGCCGTAGGTTGCCGACCCCTGTCCTAGATCCTCAAATGTAATTTGGCTCCTAGAATTTAGGAGCCTAAATACCTTTGAGGATCCAGGCCCTAGAGCCTAAGTCTAAGTCAATAGAACAAAGGCTCCTGAATGCCTGTTATTTTTGAAAATGGGACTTAGGTGCTTTTGAAAATTTTACTTGTTACTCCCTCATCTCAGGGCACGTCTTCACTACCCGCCGGATTGGCGGGTAGCGATTGATCTATCGGGGATCGATTTATCGCGTCTAGTGTAGACACGATAAAATCGATCCCCGATGGCTCTGCCGTCGACTCCGGAAATCCACCGCGGCGAGAGGCGGAAGCAGAGTCGACGGGGGAGCGGCAGCGGCCGACTCGCCGCCGTCCTCACAGCCAGGTATGTTGACCTAAAATACGCAACTTCAGCTATGCTATTCACGTAGCTGAAGTTGCATATCTTAGGTCGACCCTCCCCCCTGTAGCGTAGACCTAACTTGGGTGAAGCAAGAGAAACTCTTGGAGACTGGATATTTAAGTGTCTGTATCCCAATCTTTTCAAACCTGTATTTAAAAAGGTATAAACAAAAAATAATACAAAACCACACACACATTCCATTTCGTAAACTGGAGCAATGCAGACTGCTAACTATAAAAGCAAAGCAGTGTTTTTAAAGGAAGATCACGGGGGCAATTATGCCAGTGAAAACTGCACAGGCTCACATGCTCCACTGTAGACAAGACCAGCTCAAGATCTTGGTTCCAGTGCCACAACATATTCAAAGAAGCCATAATGAAAAGAATTTATATGTAAGGTGTATATCCAACAAACTGAAAGTTCATCACCTAACACACAAGATATTTAAATCGTTCACTAATTCACATATACCTCTGTAGACTTGTAGAAATTCTCCTTCAAATTAGCATCTCCTTCCATTTTATGCTTTTTGAAATGCCATAGGATCACATTATAGACCACCCTGGGAAAGGACCCATCCATGAAATGCACTCTGCTGTGATGTTGCACCATGCTAAAAGAGTAGTAAAGATTTTGATGGGAAAGGGCCATGAGACCCACTGGCACTGTAACTATGAAAAACGTGTCTATCCTTTAAATTTACCAACAGCTACAAAGTAAATCCTCTTAGGATAGCTATTTGTTCTCTGCCAATGCTGTGCTCTTGTAAAAGTAATGATACTTTTGCACTTAGAACACAATGAAATAGCTAATAAAAAGAACAATCTCGATAGAGCTATAAAACATGGATTAATATAGAAGTAACAAAACTTGCTTGATAGCTGATGGTGAGACTGGCTTTTTTCCCCCAGTCGGCACTACCTATAAATGTCCCCCTTTCTTCATCAGCCTATATATTGTGACTGCACGTACCGGGTACATTATGGAAAATGTACTTCCAGAGCTAACGATAATGTATCATTAATTTATATTGAAGACTATTAGAACAGCACCAGTTGCTGGTGTGGACAAGAAGTATTGAAATTGTTGACAGTATCATCCTATACCTAGCCAATGAGCTATGGCTTTTTTTTGTAACAGCAACTGAATCGTGAATGTGGCTGCAGTAGTCTGGTTTAGAATCAAAGGATGATCTGCTGTATGAATTGATGGCACTAGTTCAGGCTTATAGTGTTGCATTTATCCACAAGTTTCCTCAAGTCAACTGCTGAAACACCTACAAGAAGCCAACCAATTGGTTACCAGGTCTCCAGTTGATGTAAATCAGAATAGTTCCATTGAAATTAATGGAGGTATGCCAGTTTGCACCAGCTGAGGACCTGGGTCCTCTGATTGGTAGGCTGAACAACATTTGGGAATGTCAAATGATTTTGAACAGTCAACCTGTACCTGAACTTGTACCACTGGAGCGAATAGGAATTTTGCCATTGACTTCTATGGAGCAGGTTCTTGTTATCATCCCTCTCCCTCTTTCCTCCTTTTGTTCAGTACACTCACATGGGGAGTCTTGTTTCAAATTGGATTGTAAGAGCGTCAGGGCAAGGACTACGTGCCTATGCATTTGTACTGCATCTGGCACAATGGGGCCACAATCCTGATGGGGGCCTGTGTGTGCTACTATAATAGATGTATCTATTTGTAAACTGTAATCATGGTGAGGGGACTGTCTTCATGTGTTTCTTGTGCAGCATCAACCATGCTGTCAGCACTTAAATATAGTATTGTACCTAAAATGACAGTGTTATTTTTTTATTTAGTGAACCGCCATTAAAAGGTTAAAACGGGTTAAATTGTGGTAAAAGTTTGGACAGAAAGTCACCCAAACCTTTAATTTCTGTTAAAAGTCCAGAACGCCATCTCTGCTGAGTGCTCAGCTCTAGGAAAACATCCAGCCATTTATTTTGGTGTCCACGTTTGAATATATTGACCTAAAAGACCACCTCATGCAAGTTTATTAAAACCTCTCTAGAGAGGTGGTAATGAGGCTTCAAAGGGGCTATTGCAGGGGAAAGTTGGGGTTGGGTAAGTGTCAAAAGGGCAGAACAAAGATAATTAATATAGCATATAATACATGTAACAAGCTCACTTACCTCACAGGATTGTTGTGAAGCTTAAAATGAAATTATGGCCCCAATTCAGCAGGAAATGTAAGCACATGCCTTACTTTGAAGTGTATCAATACCTTAATTAATTCAATAGGATTGCTCATGTCCTTAACATTAGGCACATGCTAAAGTGCCTTGGAGAATTGGGGCCCATTTGTTTGAGATTTTGTATGGAAGGTACTTCAGAAGAGCAAAGTATTTTTACTGAATCATGTGTAGCTATTTATTTGGGTTGTTTATGCAGTAAGTTTGTTTTTAATAGAACATGCAGGGATTTCTCTTCATGTGATTAAATATTCACATAAATATTTTAAGTGTGCAGCCTAATCTTTATGGAACATTAGGATGGGACAGGTAGAAAATGCCCAGATACAAACGATAAGCACTTCTGCTTGATGTTTCTTTACAAATAACAGCAACTAATGCTGAAGGTTGACATATAAATGCTCAGCTTCTAGACTTAAAATCTTCTTCAGTATAGACAGGAGGAAGTTCACATCAGATAGTGATCTCAGGCTGAGTAAATTTTAAGATGAGAAACTGCCATAAACTTTTAGGTGCTGCAAGAAGTGAGGATGGCAGTACAGGTCTGCTCTGGCCTAATTTTAAAGCCCATCCCAAACCCAACTAACCCACAGCTGGCCCAAATCACGTCAAGTCGCTTTCAGACATGACTAACACTTCCCCCAAACTTGTGTTAATGTAGGCCTCATCCTTGAGGTTTGGCCTGGTGGAAGCTTCCTGCTCCCCACATCTTGTGACTGCAATCTGTCTCCAATTGTCTCCTACCTAAGGGGTTGGCAACGTGGGCCCATGTGCCCTGCTCCTGCCTTACTTTTGTGTGTGTACTGTGGAGTGAGAGGTGCTGTGACTCACTGGCACACTCACTCTGCACAACACAGAGCAGCAAGGTGGCAGCAGTTAGTGGGAACAGGGCATGCAGCCGCCACTGAGCTGCCAACCCCAGAGGCAGCAGGAGATGATCAGAAAACCCAACTCAAGTCTGAGAGAGTCAGGTTGTCTTCACATCTGAACCTGATACTTGTAATCAGGTCCTGTCAGATTGCAAGGCTCTAGGTGGCACTTTTCTTTCTGCATCAGCACTGAATCAATGCCTCAATATGGTGCTAGGAGACCCTGTGCTGCAGGACGTGCTGGCTTTCAGATAAGAGGTGGAAACAAAGGACTTGAGCATTTGTGACCATTAAAGATTCTATAGTATTCAAGAGTAGGGAGTCTTTGCAGAGATCTTTCGGATGACCTTATAAAAGTCAGTCCTGTCTGCTCTGAGAGGACTTTCAGTATCTGTAAGCCCTTTTTATAAATGCAGAGATTTGCTCCAGCATCTTTGGTCAAAGTTTTCCCTCCCCCAGCTGTTATGAAGTGCTGTGAAATGGTTGCCTTCCCATCCCAGAGGTCACTGGATTTCAGCAGTGTGACACTAAGCTTTGAGAACCTCAGCAATCTCCATATAAATGTAAAATATGACAGACAAAATATCATGCAAGTACTCTTTATTAACTGATCCTACGGATTACTTAAATAATTACACCAGGTGACTCTAAAAATAATCATCATATATCAAGAAAGAAATAAACCATGTATTTACTTAGTAATTACATTACATTATACTTGCTATGTAATCACCTTGAAGCTCTATATTTTATTTCTATTTCTATGCTGCTAAATGGTCAGCAGTTACGAATGCAAGTAAGGAGTACTCACATGATATTTGTGTTCTGATCCAGCCATCATCATCTGTGGCCTTCATACTTTTCTTAGTTGATGAAACTTGGCTATGTGACATGCTGACTTATTTAGAAGAAAAGCCTATGTGCCAGCTACCCTTCTTCCTAAAGTAAGAGCATGGTACAGCATCTTGCACTGTAGTATACCCAAATCAGTTGTTTCTACCAGCTGCCATCAAGCAAAAGGAAGTTAATTCAGCAAAGGTTGGAGTAACTCCGCTGCGTGGCCGCAGAAAGAATAATCGATTGGGCCCTGCTCTCTGAACTGGGTTTTATTTTACACCCCATAGCCTCTTTCTTGTACACTCCTGTTGATGGCAAGTTGAAGGTAGCAGCCAGTAACCAGTTAAAGGTGAGGATTTTTGTTTTGTTAATTCTTGCATAAATAGCAACTAGAAAAGCTTTGCTTTCAAACTGAATAATGCTCTTGATGAAATTAATAATTCATCTTGTTTAAGAAATTCATGACCTCACCCCAATCATTTACACTCTAGTGAAGGTTTTAAACCATTTCTCACCCCACTGCCCAACTGTTGATCTGGAACTGCACACTCTCAACGAGGAACTCCAGATTAAGAATCTGTACTTAATAGGTATTTTTATATTTCTCTTCTCCTAGAGCATGGCCTCTTGAGGAGTTTCATATAGATCTAAAACGTATCAATACAACAGAAAAAAGCTCAAATAAGTTTTTTTAAAATGCTTGAATATTGTGCTTTTCAATATTAAACAATAGACCTAAAAATCAGATTGTATCATTTCACAGGTTTGCTTGTGTGTGTAGCAGGAGAAACATCCTTTCATCCTAAAATATGATTATAAGATACTTCAAGACAAATCCCATTTGCACACAATTCACTGAATGTAATATGCAAATTTTACATTTAATAGAAAAAGGATAAAATCAGAAAAATGTAAAACCAATCAAAGCAACAGATCTATACAATCTTACTGCAATGGTACCAATATCAAATACAGCATAAAATATTCATGAAATATGGCCAAGCATAGTTCTTAAAAACCAACACTCATTGCCGGCTGGCTTTTCCATTTTCTGTTGTTTCCATTCTGAAATACAAAAATAGGTCAAGAAGACTAGTCAGTTAGAGCATATTGTTTACTTGTCATGCACTCAAATGATTAAAAATAAAAGGCAAATCTGTGAATTTATATAAACATTTCTTTACACTTTTCTAGTGCCGCAACACTATTTTTTTTTAGAGACCTCTTTATACATATATAAAGTATATACTATATACACATATATAGTAAACATTAAACCGGAGGAAAGTTTGCTTTCAAGGAACTTTCTGCTTACAGCTAGGGTAAATGAGCAATAAGTTCCATACTCATGCTCCCTGGGCTACGCAAACCTGACTTATGCAAACCCGCACTTACAAAAAAAACCACAACAAAACAAAACAACTTAACGGAACTTTTTCTGTAATTGTCGGGTATACGTCCCTGACTTACGCAAAATTTGACTTACGCAAGGCGTTCCGAAACGGAACGCTTGCATAAGTCGGGGAGCATCTGTATATAAAAATCACAGTTAAGACTGACGTTACATTATTGACTCCAGCAGTGATTAACAAAGGCAAGACAAAACACAGACTTGTGTCTGACTGTGGAGGGTCTGCTCCTCTGAATCTCTAGAGCTATACCAGTTTCTGTCAAATCCTTAATAGTATTTAACATTTTTCCCTGTTATTTTTATCCTTTTGCTCAATTTATTGGCCACTCCCATTCTAACGATTACTTGATGGCAGTTGGATTTATGGGGATGCAGAAGAGGTTATTATTCCTTTAATGTGTTGTACAAGATGCAATGGTTTTATCTCTGCCATGTTTGATTTAGCTACTTTTATGGAGATTTTGTTTTGGGGAGTTTGGGTCTTAATTTCGTCTCCTATTTGGCCCCCTACAAGCATAAGGAGGATTGTGCTGTGTAGACAGTCATTGGGATAGACGGTAAGAAACAATCCAAGACAACAGGGTGGCATTCAGCCCTGCTCAGTTAGGGGAAGGGTTGCAATGAAGTAGGGGCAAATGGATGAAAACAGATCATAAAATTTCTTTGCTGTAAAAAAAAAAAAAAAGTTAAATTTTGATTAGTGCAAGAGGTAAGGAATCCTCTTAATAGATTACTACTATGACTAATTTATTCCTGTATATAGCACATTGACTGTTTATAAAACATATTATGTATTCAGCAATACTAACCCATTTTCCTCTTTAAGATGTTGATACAGCTCAGCTTTATTGTTGACAGAGTTCAGACGACCAGTAAATTCTTGGTGTTTCCTAGAATTGGCTGTATTAATCCTATTGCTCCACAAAGACAGCAAGGACATTGGCCCTAGGATTAGATTTGAAAATAGAATCAAGGTGATTTGATTAATGAATTCTCAAATACTAATTCAATATAAGTTTACAGAACAAATTATACTATTTATACAGCACCAGCATAGCCCATTAAAGACCAATGTAAGACATGGTCCCTACCCCAAGAAACTTACACTGTAGGTTAGATGAATAAGACAGCTGCAAACAGGTGGGAGGTTTAGATGGTACACCTCTACCCCGATATAACGCAACCCAATATAACATGAATTTGGATATAACGCGGTAAAGCAGTGCTCCGGGGGTGGGGGTGGGGCTGCACACTCTGGCGGATCAAAGCAATATAACGCGGTAAGATTTTTTGGCTCCCGTTATATCGGGGCAGAGGTGTATAAGGTTATGAGGTTACCTTTTCCCACATTATGTTAGTTCTATGTGGTTTATTTTATGGTTTAAGTACATTTGACCAAAATGGATTCTACTATTTTGTGGGCATGAAGCTGGGCCAGGCTTTGTGCCTATGCAGAGCGGTAAATGGATCCAAAGGAGGCAGACCCCATCCCGTTCACAACCCGTAGCAGACAAGGAATTGCTCTGCATCAATCAAACCTTGTCCCAGAGGCAGAATTGAAGCTGTGGCTGCTCTACTGCAATATATGGTAGTGGGGCCATCAAAGGAGCAGTTCCTCCCCTTGATATCCCAGCCTAGGGACTGGTCTCTCCAGCTGATCGACAGTGAGATTGTCAAGTGGTCACTGTCCTTTATGCACCAACCACTGCTGACAGCTCTGAAATACAGCTGTTCAGCCAGCAAGAATGGTGGCCCACTAGCCCAGAAAAACTCCCCACCCAGAACTACCAAGGACAGTGGGTAGCAACAGAGCCCTCTGAGCTTTCCATCAGCATATATTACATTGGATGAGGGGAATCTCAGTCTGTGAACTACCCCATCCCACTCTTTACCTTTTGTAGACTGCTCCAGAGAGTACTCTAGCTCCAGGTCTGCATAATGCAGCTATCACTAGAACCTTCAGACCACACCACAATAGTCTATTTTATATAGTATGTCGATTATCTAATACAGTGATTTTCAACCTTTTTTCCATTTGTGGACCCCTAAAAAATTTCAAATGAAAGTGTGGACCCCTTTGGAAAATCAGCCAGTGGTCTGCAAACCTCCACCATAGAAGTCTTGGCCTGAAAACTGATATTTTGTAAATGTCGCATATGCTCAGCATGGCATTTGATGCAACGTGAGAAAGGGCACTAAACTGTGGACGTCTATGGTAATGACAATACTTCTGGGTTTTGACCTGTAGGTGGGGGGATTCAAATACTTTTTATTGATCAGAGAAACAGAATGCCTTTTCTGGGATCTGAAACTTTATTTTCACAGTCACCTTTTGCGGACCCCTTAGACATAGCCTGTGGACCCCCAGACCATACGCTGAAAACCACTGATCAATAGATTATACACACAAAAATCAGAAGACATCTTTCAGAATTCACAATGTTCTAATTAAACTAAAACTAACTCTTCAAATCTTTCCAAGACTCAACTCTTCTGCAGTTGACTCCTCACTCTAGGATAAAACAATTTTATGTCCCCTGCTAAGGCTCATTCATTCTGCCTTAACTTGGCTTTTGTGGCCTTCTTTCCCATATAGGTGTACGGTGCATTGTATTCCACCCGTATGCCTTTAGCACTTTACTTGTTGAGGGTTCTTTTCTATAAAGACACATTACCCCAAAATAAATACATTTTATATTTTCTAATAACTCTTCCGCTCTCCTCTGTGTTACCCTCATGGCTTTTTATTCTACATTAGTGACATCTCTATACAAGGAAATGAATTTTGAACCCAATACATTTACTACCTAGATTAGGACAAGGCTGTGATCTTTGTGGACATTGAGAAGCTCCTACTCCAGTTGTAATTCCACCGAAATCAGTGGTACCACATACAATGTAAGGTACTAACCACATTTGAAACTATCACAATCTGGCCCTTAACGAACAGCAATCAATCAGATGGAACTCAAATCAGGAACACAGAGGCTTTGTATCAGTCCCCTGAACCTTCAACCTCACAGCTCGTTTTTCATCCCTCCACCTGGACCAAAAGTATTCAACTCATAGTAAGATTCTGCTTGACCCCCTCTCACCAACCACTTTGTGTATAAAGACTTAGCCATGACTCTCATTAGAACTGAACGATTAAATCTACACACAGGATATTCAAAAGGTGCACCTTTATCTTATTCAAGCAAATCTGAACTGCTGTGACAACCGTATACGAGCTCTTGCAATTCACACCAATTTTACCTGATTTACTATTTTTCAAAATCATTTTGACTTACCTTTTGTTTTTTCCACTGGAGGTATTTCATCCATTGTAACAAGAGGCTTTTTGTTGGGTGGTTCGGGAGAATCAGGAGAATCTTTTATAACTTCAGCTTCTGCCAGTTCCTCTTTTTCACGATCCAATAGACCTTTTAATCTTAAGTGGGGAAGGGAGGAAAAAAAGGAGAGACAACAGAGAGCGTCAACACCACACTTCTCATTTACAGTGCTCTTCCAAGTTTATTCATATAACATCCGTCCTAGTAGAACAATTGCTTTTTTTGAGAGTCATGAGATCGATGAAAATAACTAGAAAAGCCATTGGCTAAGGATTTGGATGCAGACCAAAAGGAAGTGGGAATGAGATGAAACTCAATCTCATTTCAATTAGTTACCAATATTTATATTGCACTCATTATTGTGATAATCGGTTATGCAAGAGATTTAAAAGTGCAATTGTTGCTAACCATCCGGACAACACAAATCTACTGCTGACTCTGGGTTTGAGCCTAAACCAGTTTGCTGCCATCTGCATCCCTACCTTTGATTTCCTTTCTTTCCTAGTGTGAGACATAGTATTGGACTTGACCACATGCACAGGTAGATCTAAGTATCATCAGCACGCTCACAACACTGCAGGACAAAACATCCATCTTCCCTAGTGGCCATGCTCGCACATAGAACAGCACATACAAGTTGAGCTTAGAGCTGATTAACCATTTTTTCCTGAGTCTCAACTTTATAACTTCTTTAGAAGAGACATTTGAAAGGGGGGGAAAAAAAAAGATACTCAAAGAAATTCATGACTAGACAGATTAACTGATCCTTCATGATCACATGTCATATCAGCTAACAGGACAACTTTTTGTTTCTTAAGGCATAGAAAGCAGGTCCATAATCAATATGATGCTAATCTACACAAAACTCAGCACAGAAAAACCTGGAGCATCTAAATGTCTATGAGGACACCTAAACAGTCAATCAGCCAGAGTTCAGGATAAATGAAATTCATTTGTCTATAGTTTTCAGTCTCACTTCATATTAGGGTTTGTTTATACAAAGTTATTAACAGATGCAGTATGTTACAGATGGGTATACATCTAAACAGTAGAAAGTGCTATAGATGGTGAAGTCACAAGCAAGCAACTTACTGTTATTTTGGCCATTATAACAATTGATTAAACATTTATTAAAAAACATGTATCTTTTATTATCCCCATTCTAAACTATTTATAAGTGTACCCTTAATATAAGCATGAAACTAAATGTCGTATTTGGGAAATTTATCTTAACATCAGATAATTGGGGTTTCAATACTTATACTTACATTTGTGCCTTTTATAAACAAGCTAAAATCATGTTAGTTAAATCACTTAAGCTTTTAAAAATTCTAGCGCTAGACTGTGCTGCATATGCCACATTACATACCAGTACGTGAAAGCATATATTAATTCAGAAAATTCACCTCTCTGATTCCTGCCAGGGTTTTTCCAGTTCATAATCTTTTCCTGATTTCTCTGACTTGTCTTCTTTATCTTCTCTCTTCCTCCCTCGTTTCTTGCGCTCTTCTTCTTCAGGAGGTTTGCTCCTGCAAGCCAGGAGACACTCCAAGACTCGCTGGTGTTTATCCGAGTTATTTATATGCGCTCTAACAAGGGTCTCCAATTCGTTCCACATAATCCGGTATTGTTCATCTCTATCCACAGGCACAAAATAAAATCTTCACATATTTACACACAGACACTCTCTCTCTCTCCCACTCCAGCTTGTAAGAGCCATTTATATATTAAATAATCAAGGTTCAAAACAGTTACTGTCTAGTAGATTGAGCCTAAGTTTTTAAAAAAGTCTCAGTAAAGTAGGTTTTCTTCAACTCCCTTTACTGGAATTCTGATCACCCTGTATTGTTTCATTCTTGGAAGCATCGGAGCTGAATAGTATGTGGACATGCTCAGTTGTTTCCAACAAACCTGAACTTGTAATTAAATCTAATACCCAAATCTCCCCTTGAGTCATAATCATCAATTTCCCTAGGTCAAAGCAATTGTAGAGACATTGCCAAAACCTATTAGTGTCACTTGAGCCAACCAACTCAAGAGGCAAGAAGAAACCCTCTTTTTGAATGCTGGGACAGGTAGAAATCCATCTGTTCATTGCCAGATTCAAATGAATTTTAATGTTTTTCTCTTAGACAAAAATTAAAGACAAAATAATAGGGAATCACTGTAACATAACACTACAGAACTGAATAGTTCAAGTATCTTTTGTAGCTGACTTTTTTTTCATACTCAGGAAACCATCCTGCCTAGGATTAGATTGATGTACAAGAAATGCACATGATTATTCCAATGGATGGGATATCGTAGACTTCCAAATTTGTTGTAATGGAAGTTTCATCTCTTATATAAAATGTTTCAACAATGGTATGACTACTTTTAAGATAATCAAATATTAAAAATATTTTAAATATACAATAGCTTTGGAAGTGTCTGGTTTCCATGAGTCCAGTGGTGACCCGCATTTCCTCTGTTCTAACCTACGTGAGGCTCAAGATGGTGTTTTCGGTATGATTTTTTTCCCTTTAAAAAGTGTCTTAAATATAATAAAAATATTATTCTTTGTAAGATGTGACTAAATCTGTTGTTTCCAGTTACAACCGAGTTTTTTCTTTAACATGAACCAGGGGAATAGGATTACAGTTCTAAATTATGCAGCCAAATGATATACAACATTTATTTTGCACATATATGTAGTTTAGTGGACTCTAAATTACCTTTGATTGTCCAACTTAAAACACAAGGTTCATCTGGAATGTATGCAGATGTGATATATTTTTTTTGCAAAAGTACAACAAAATTAATAAATGTTAAACCTTTTTGGACCCTTTCCCCTGGTACCAACTGTTGAAATGGGCAGTGGATCATTTTTCCTCTCCATATCTACCAAGTTGTATATTGTTTTCTGACAATTCAGCACATCCTCATCTGTCAGAGCTTCTTTCACAATAACACTGGCTAATGGCACTACCTTCAAGACAAAACAAAACAGAACAAAATCTGCCTTTAGTTAGGGGGTGGGGATTTAGAAGCATATTTGAGCATGACATTAAAAAACAAAAATCCTTTAACCTACATTCTGAAGTGTCCCCAGCATGCATTACTACATGAAATCCCCCCCTTAACCCAACAGCTTTGCATCCAACTCAATTCCATGTAATGGGAGACATTTGGGTACAGAGTTATAGTTGTAAAATATACACAAAGTACTTAATCAAAAGTGAAAGCCAAAACCTTATTCTAACTGATTTTGTTTTTGTTGATTTTTCTATAGTGTGCTATCAGCTATGCAGTTTTTACTGATATTAACTCTTTCCTAAGTACAGTTTTAAAAACTTACTCCAGAACAGAACAGAAAAGTTACAAATCCATGATCACTTACAGCTTGCATGTTGAAGATGGTGGTTTGCGAAATAATCATAGGCCAGTAACGAGTATGTTTCTCTAACTGATCTTTTGCTCGTTCCAAAGGAATCTCAAGACTTCCATCGATCTTATATCTGGGGTCTAGAAAAGGAGTTAATCTGTTTTCCCTCATAAATTCACCAAAATCCTAATGATAACCAAACAAGATAAAATTAGGAACTTCTCTAATAAAGTAACTTTCATTGAATGGGTCAAACATCATTACCTCCCTTATGAATAATGTAGAAAGGAAAAGGAATGTAGCCCTAAAAACTATAGGTCTGTGTTCAATATTCTTATGAGCAATTCTACTTTGAATTCATATAGAAAGCATTTAAGGAAGAGGTTTGTCAAATCTTAACTTCATGAAACCTTAACTTCAAAAAATTGTAGGATGTGGGAACAAATGCTCTGCTTTGGATTGGTAATAACAAATTACATATGTTAAAGTTTTATTCTGTTTGTTTACAGTCCACTTTTTGCTAATGTGCACTGAATGCAGAGGATATAAAGTTAAAAAAGAGTAAAATGTTTTTTTTGTTTTTATGTTTTTAATAAAAAGAGTGCCCCCTCCACACCCGAGTCTATAAGCATCAGTTCTTTTTTATCTGTGCAGTCCAGCTATTCTCAAAGACCCTCATTATGACAATTACCCTTCTTATAGAGGGCTGGGTGCAGGGCTATCTGGATCCAGTCCACTTCAAACCTTTGTTGAGATAAACAGTGTTTAAAAAGAGTAACCAATGAGAGTATTTCAGAAAGTTCATAATACCTACAGCATGCAAGCACAGATATGGGATAGCGACAGAAGGCTTTTATAAAGTGGTCATATGTGTGTGTCAATAAATGCTGACTATCAATAATAGAATGAAGAAATAGTTGATCCAGGTGTCAATTTAAAAAAAAAAAAAAAAAAGTAGACCTACAATTTCTTATGGTACAGAATGTCTGTTTCAACCCACCTCACTCCTCACCCCTGAATTCTGATGAATTGTTTAGTAAAACTAAAAATAGAAAATAGTAGTATCTTACTGTAATCCTGTAGTCTGTGACTCTCCCACCACATCCTTCACTAATTGAAGGGGGATCTTCTAGAATTGATCGAGAACTGCTCAATACATGCAGGAAAATCTCTCCTCCGTGGCTACTAAGCATGTGGCTAATTACTTTAGAACCAGACTTGCGCGGTTGTTCCAACAAAACAGAACGGCCTATTAAAATTGAGATCAGTTTGATTAGCTACTGAGTACAGAAATTTACATTTAAAGGTATTCTACAGGTTTATATTTAACCACCCAACCCTCAGCGGTGTTAAGCTAATGTAGGTCTCTTACTAAACTCCAATTAGTAGATCTGCAATTGTTTCCTATGGAACTTTAATTCCTGCCTTTAGATAGGCTATTATGGAACATAGCACTCTTCTTGCATTATATAGAAAGGGCTCAAACTATGTACATCTCTACTCCAATATAACGCGACCCGATATAACACGAATTCGGATATAACGCGGTAAAACAGCGCTCCGGGGGGGCTGGGCCAAGCACTCCCGCGGATCAAAGCAAGTTCGATATAACGCGGTTTCACCTAGAACGTGGTGAGATTTTTTGGCTCCCGAGGACAGCGTTCTATTGGGGTAGAGGTGTACTTTATTTGTTACCTTTTGATCATTCAGAAAATATAGTTCTTACGGAGATAAATGTTTGTAAAAAGTAATGAAAGTGCTATACTGTATTTGGCCAACTCATTATTTTCAATAGTTTACAATATACCTTTGTCAACCAAATAGTGACCCAAAACACATAAGTTGTTTTCATTGAAGACTAAGGGCATGGTAAATATACAGTTTAAAAAAAAAAACTATCTTGTGTATTATTTGAGCACTAGGGTATCTTAAATTTCTTTGTTTCAAGGGACACTATTTCATGTTCATATAAGTCAAAAATGGCTTATTTTCTTGAAATTAAGAGTATGCATGAGAAAATTCTACTAAATATATTCTTTTGAGGGTGAAGGTTATGGTAACAGTTGAATGATAAACTGACTAACCAAATCCTTGGTTGACCTCAATGCTAATTAGTATGTCAGTTTCAAGCAGGCACAATGCCCTCCTAGTATATGAAAATAAATGTAGGAGGTCACATGATTACCTAATTGGATCAACTGTGGGTGGTAAAGATAGTAGTCACCGATCCTTGATTCTGTCCTGATTGCTGACAGCTGCCTATCCTCTCTATATATGACAGAATATATCATTGCTACCTTAGCTCAAAACTGGATTACACTTAAAATGAAAGTTAGCAAGTTTACAGTGTTGAATAGATGGGAAGATATTTTTTATCTCTTGAATGAGAGAGAGTGAGGGAAAGAGGAATATATTGAGAAGTTCCTATTCTATTCTGAATCTCTGCAGCATGTTTCAGAGAAACTTGCAAATGGTTTGCAATATAGAACAATTTTCACTTAACTCACAAGAGCAAGAATACCTATTTTCCAGTTTTCTGATGGAAGAACCCTTAGTTATTACATTTCTATTCAGAAAGAATACTCAACACTATTAAGCATTGTGATCAAACATATTATCATCAGCTATATTGTAATTCAAGAACAGATGTAATATTAAAATAAATGTATATTACTAAACACAGAACCTATGTTGGGATTTAGAAAAAACAACCACCATCAGGATTTCTCTCTCTTTCCCATCTCTTCTCCCCTTTTCTAGATTTAAAGTCAAATTGTAATTTTTATTCCATTTGCCTTCAAATATAGTTATCAGTCTAGATGCTTGTTGGACTATCTTGCTTCTGTATTACTCTCCTTTACACAGATTACGTGTTAATATGACATCGGTAATAATGTGAATATCTAACTTTTTAACATTTTGTACAACGTGGCTATACCTACACACTTTAAAAAAGGGATTTGCAACATTAACAATTTTTAAAATGTTTAACCAAGAAAACAATTTACCATTGAGAAGAAAGTTGGTAAGACAGGAGGAAGGTCGGCTATTTACATCTACAGGTGAGATTCTGTATGCTCCAGTGCAATAATGCAATTCTGAAAAATAAAAATGTAGAAAGGTTTTTAGCTTAGTTCCAAAGATAGAAAAGAACACACTACACAAAGGGCCTGAAGCTACTCTCTTACAAAATACCTAAATTAGTTGAAGTGATTTGTTTGTGAAATTTCTTTGAAAGAGGGAGGGAAGAAAAAAAGCTGCAGAGCAATGTTACTGGAGAATTATAATACATTTACAAACTGGTGATGCAAACCACAGAAAAGTAATGGAGGGGAAAATACACTGAACACTTTTAGCTAGCGAACAAGCAGTTTGCTTGATAGAGCGAGAAAAATCCTGGTTTCCCCTCTCTCCTACATAAATAAGTCAGTGATTAGCCAGCAGCAGGAGCATTCAGTCTGACAAGATACTGACTGTACGGTATGCCAAATCACGGCAGTAGATGTTGCAGCCTCTTTGGAGGTCTGCTGGTAGAGGCTGCAACAAAGTAGAGCTGTGGTAAGAGACACTGGGTATAGGAAACAAAAAGGAGAGGAACAGTAGTGCAATCACCAGGGAATATTATTTCTGTGTTTGGATGCCGTGGGGGGGAGAAGGGGGGACCTAGTGCAGGACAGAAAGTGTTTCTCAAACATTTACAGAAAAATACAGTACCTACCAACACTGTTTGTTCGCGGCGTGCACCATTTTAATGTTACAGTTTCTTTAAATGTACCCTCTCTGCTATTGCCACCTATATGATTATCACCTGCAACATCAAGTTAGAGAAAATGTGCCACAATAAATTAGTCAGTAGTCTTCAGTTCATTACATTATAGAATACAAAAATCTAGCAATCATAACCCTTATATAATATATGATGGTGCTGCACAAACCCTCCTATTATTTGAATGAGAGGGTTTAACGTACAAAATGTCTTATCTGGAATCTGAACTTGATTTTCGAAAGAGAACATGATGATTTTTTAAAAAGTAAATATTCAAAATAAGCTTAAAAACATCCCCAAACCCAGAAGTTTTCAGAAGTAACATCTACAATTTTAATTTTTTTTATTTTATTTTTTTTAAAATGAGCAAAGTTATTGCAGTACAGACAAACTTGGGTGTAAGAAACCATGCATGCAAAATACATAGGTGTTCAAGTAGGCATGTTCAACGTAACAGCTACATTGAGGCTCCTGAAAAGGTGTCCTCTAAGTCTCATTTTATTATTTAAAGCAAAAATATATTTACAATACTTTTAAAGTTGTAACAGGACAAGAAGTTTATTTTAAAAATATGTCTAATACGCTCAAAGGATGGATAATGGCCTTCTGTGCAAAAATTCTGCACCTCCTAGGTGTCAGAACCTTTGTTTTGAACTGATCAGTTATAATTAAAATTTTATTTTAAACAGCACATCCCAAAAATCATAACTGAAAATATCTCAAGAGCACATTTGACAAGTTGTATTGCTTTCTTCCCATTGACAAAAAATAGTAGGTATTGTTATTGATCTCTTTATTCTTTCTTGTCCAATGCGAACACCTCTCATCATGTAGTTCTGGCCATGTATATTAAGATACATTGCTAAAACACTTCCTTTCAACCTTCTTATTTACAGCTGGTCCGACAGGAAGCAGTGAATTACAGGAAGGCAATAAAATATATAGACATATCATAATGCTTCCAAGATAATGCAGTAGATTCTTACTAATTAGTGCTTTGCTAATCTGAACTTCCAATAATCTGCACATACTAAGGAAAGATAAGTTTTACATGAAGTTTCAAATTGCTGGTGTTGCCACTTACAAAATATACGTCAAAATAGGACACTCTAGACCAATAACTCATGGCTGAACTAGATGCAAGAGTCAACGGGTATATATTGGGTTATGTGGGAGGTCAGACTAAGTGATAAACACAGTCCATTCTGATTATGAAATCACAGAAACATGTACTAATGGGTCTTGAATGATCTGTCCTTTACTTCTACAAGTAGTCTTTACCCACACAGAAGAAAAAAAAAAATCACATTGAAGTCAACCCTGCAGGTTGCTGTTAAGGATAAGATAATGGCAATAATTTTATATACTCAAACAGAGATCTTCTAAAGAATGTCAGTCAGATCTATTTCATCTCAATTGTGGAGCAGCCTTAAAAAAAAAAAAAAAAAAAAAAAGTCAAACTGGTTCAAATTACCACTTTCCTGGTCAACAGAGTTAATGTTTTTAAAATTGGAAATGCTGCCTAGTCTGCTCTCTCCTGTCCAATATATTCCTATAGACGAGCTTGAAAAATTCATTTTGCTTCATAAACTCGTCCAAGTAAACTTTCCCAGGTGAGTGTCAATTGACTTCTACAGAATCCAGGCTTCTGTTTATGGCTGCAAAGAGAGCATTCTAAATCTGGCCAGGAAGTAAACACTGCTGTCCTGCTTTTCTACAGACTACGGCTGTGATGCTTCTCACAGCTTTGTTAAACTGCAGCAGACTGAAAACTTAACAGTACTAGCAGTGTGGTGGGGCAGTTGCCCCACACAGGGAGAAGAAGGGGTTAAAAGCAGCAGCAGGGAGACTGCGCAGAACCCAGGCATCAGGAAAGGGCTTACTGAGCCCATGGATAAGGGGAAGGCTTGCTGGAGCAGCCAATCAGGGCCAGCGAGAGTTGTATATAAAGGGCTGTTCAGCCAAGCAGAGGGGAGTCTCTCCCTGGAAGGCAAGGGAGGAGGACTGGCTAAGAAGCGCCATAGATAGAGCAGTGCTGGGCAGAGCAGCAGAGTGTGAGGGTGAGCTGCTGGCTGACCACTGCCAGGCTGGGCCTTGCAATAAGAGCTGAGAGCGTGCTAGGGCTACAGGGGAAGTGGCCCAGGGAAAATAGGCAGCAAATTGCAGGAGGGTAGTAGATCGCTGCCAGCTATTGGGTCCCTGGTTGGGGACCCAGAATAGCAGGCGTGCCTGGGTCCCGTACCCCCCTTGCCAATGAGGAGGTGGCTGATATCCAGACTGCAGTTTGCCCCTGAGGCGAGGGGCTGGACCTTGGACTGCAGTTGGCCGCTGAGGCAAGTGGTGAGACTAAGGCCTGCCAGTCACCCGGAAGGGGGGAGAGATACCAGAGTGGGGGCACAGCTGGAGGACCGTGTGCAGAAGAGGACGCTGCTGTCCGGGGAGTGATGCGGGTCCAAAGAGTGGAGACAGTAGTGACAGCAGGTATGACCCCACTAGCTGAAGGCAGACCATGGAAGGGCCATGAGCTAATTCCCAGGATGGCCAGCGGGAAGCACCGTGGTGGCAAGTCCTGCCCCCTTACAAGCAGTATCACTAAATAAATTCAGAACCCTGGATTAGTTTCAGTTTCACTTTCCTGCTGGTTGGGAAGAGAACAGTGTAGGGAAGTACCTTGTCCATCTTTGCAAAAAGGCTTTCAGATGAGAATGATCCTTCTAGAAGCCAAAGGCTTACTGAGGGCGTTTCAAATTTTTCAGACACCTGACATCTCCCAGCCACAGGAAGATATAAAAGATGGAGTCCCAAGGAGGTTTCAAAGACAGTATGCAAATAGAAAACCCTGCACTCCCACCTTTCTGAGTAGCTGGGAGAGGAGGGGGCCAAAGGGTGTAGGCCTCCATATTTATAGATTTACACAGAGAAACAAAGAAAAACCCACATTTTACTGAACGGACTGTGGATGAAAAGAAAGGGAGTGGGGGGGGGGGAGAAAAGAGGATGGAGAAGCAATTTTATTATTCATTTAAGCTGGGAAGACAAGAAAAGACACTCCCTGGCTTATAATACATGTCCAGACCAGTATAAATGCATTATTGTTATGGATACAATTCTGTCACGGAGGCCATGGATTCTGTGACTTTCCAGGACTTCTGGGCCTGAGCGGCAGCCAGCCCTGCAGCTGTCCAAGCAGCAGCTGGGGGTTGGATCAGCCCCCCTGAGGCTGGAGCAGCAGCAGGCTGGAGCAGCTGAAAGCCCCTGGCAGTGCTTTATTTGTCTATCCTACTGCCCCAGGGTGTTTTAGTAAGAGTCAGGGACAGGTTGCAGGCTTCCATGAATTTTTGTTTATTGCCTATGAGTTGTCCCTGACTTTTACTAAATACCTGTGATAGAATCTTAACCTTAATTATTGTACATCCCATCATCTCTCTCTTCCCTCACTGCTTCAATTAAAGACAAAACTGCATAACATTTTTGATCACACATCATTCAAATTCTTTGACAGAATAATTGTAAAAGACAATTAGGTAGTTTCTCCCTCACAGTAACCCATGGTAATTCAATCTCTTTCTAAAAAAACAACACACCTCATTAAAACATGCCACCCGCTTACCCCCAGCTCAGATGGTTCTAAATAAAAAGGGTGGGATATCTGCTTCATATCTTTCAATATTTTAAGGGTGGAAGTTTGTATCTGCTCAAAGTGAGTAAAATGTTTTAGTTAAATCCAATTTTGGCCTTTCAATATTTGTACACTAAATTAGAGCTCAGACAGCCATACCCTGTTTCTAGACCACAAGTATTCTACATGGCAAAGCTGTTCAAACTAAATTTATTTCTAAATTGCACTGGAGTTGGGTTAAACTTTATCAGAGGATAGTAAGAGATGAAACCAAAAGCTAAAGATCATACTGGAAGAGAAAAAACTGTGGGAGAATAAGGTTAAATTCTCAAATAATCTCTGTCAATTTTAAGAGGAAGGAATTACTGTTCAGTCTAATATACTGCACTTGTCAGTTGTCAGTATTCTACAGGAAATTTAATCTAGCATACCCAGAGGTACATCAAAGAGGATGATACTTTCATATGCACATTTGATTGTCTCAAATTTTTGGAAACAAGTTTGTGTGTCTGTCAGTGAAGTAATTGGTTTCCATATTTATTTAGACACTGACATCCTGGATAGAGAATACTTCCTATAACATCAAAGAGAATTTGGCCTGTCACACGATCCTCTTGCTCAAAAACTCCTGGACGTTTGTTTAAGCATCTGGTCTCTTTTAACTCATGAACTGGCATTCTTACATCCAAGTGACAAATTGAAATGCTTCTGGTTCCATCAAACACACATTCTGAATGCATGTCTAATCTAGTTTGATGTTTATATGTTATTCTTTCCTTCATTATGTCTCCTCTTTTTAAAAATAATCAGTTAAATTGAATAATCCAAGACCAATTCATTTTACATTACATTTCAAATTGTTGTAAAGAAAATTTAAAATTTCAATTAAGTCTGCTATACTTAGTTAAATCTTGTCCTTGCTGAAGAAGCTTAAAGTTTGCATCAATTTAAAGCCCAGATCCTGAGCTTTTGAATGATCTTAAAACCGCTTTTATAAAAGTGTTCTATTAGGCATTTTTAATTCTTAGATTACTCCACCACTTACTTTTTACATTTTTTCCCTACTTACCACTTTTTATAAAGTCTACATGTGCATCTTTGTGATGAAGAAGCTCCACATCATAATTGGCAGATGTGTTAGCATGTTGTTCTTCCTTTAAATAAAAAGAAAATTCAAAAAGAATCTGGTTTATTTTTTTTTTAAAAGGATTGTTTGTTGTTTTTATAAATGGAGAATGATATTCTACATTTTACCTTTCAGAAGAAAATAAAATTTCAAGTGAATCAGACAATAAGGGGTTGCAACGTTGAGGAAATGGTTTGCTTTCTGATCTATTTAAAGATGCAATAGCCAGCTTTTTTTTTAAATCTATCATATTGCTATTTATATAAATGCCATAAATGTGCACAATGTCTAACACACAGATAAATGACACTGACAAATTCTAGTTTTTTTTCCTTCCTCTTCTTCTCTATATAAAGCTTAAAGATGTAATATAACAAAGATACATAGTAGCATCTTACACCCAGAGCTACAAGAAACAGATTGGGAAACTTGTAATTTCCTAACCAGCACCCAGTAATTCTAACTACTAGAGTCTGTTGGCAGAGTCACTTTTCTTTTTTTAAATCTTCTGAGAATTTCTTTTTAACCTGAACTAACGAAAGAAACCACTTACAGTAGCAGTTTATCATGTTCCTGCGATTAACAACTAGAAGCTATTCAATAGTTCTAACGGCAGGAATGACGCTAAAGACTGGATGTTTGTTAAAAGAAGGACACAGCATCTTTAAACAGCTGCATCAGCAAACACCATATACAATAAATTAGCAAAAACAGAACAGTAATCTTGGGGAATTTATTTTGAGTAAATAGTACACAGGGAACCCAACATATTCTATTCCTAAAAAAGACAAAGGTAGGAGGAAGAGGCATACCAGCAGCACACAGGGCAGTAAGTTACAAATAAGGTATTTGTGAAACTAAAAGAAAAAAAAATATATATATATATATCTATCACATTTATACTATGATCCATGTTAAAGCTGAAAGTTGTCAAAACAAACTAAAGTATCAGTTTACTTAATTTAACACACACAATCCGCACACTACTATCATTTATTCATTTTAAAAGAAGTGAGCACTGGGTAATCACTTATTTTTCCTTTTGTGCATTCTTTAGTTTTGCTAATAAACTTCCCCCCTTTCAATATCGGTGCTCTTGGTCTGGCAGTAAAACGTAATTGAAGCTGGGGGGCTCCTACTTACTAAAAGCCAATTAGAATTTTTAATTACATTAATTGTCATCCCAGTGGCAATGAAGATTAATTAAAGAAAAATAAATGAGAAGTAGGGATGTATGTAGCTTCTATGTGGGGGAGGGGAAAGTCATTTAATATCTTCCATTACTAGAGGCAAAAGTAATTTTCCCCTCCCCCTCTTGGTTAAGCAGCTCAACATCAGTTGAAAAACCATTATCCTTTGGTCAGAAACTATTAGTTACAAACACCTTTATGGTTGGGTGGGCATGAAAATGACACAGAGGAAAAAAGACTCACTAAACCACTAAAATGCACAAAGGTCAAGAATATCTAATGAACACAATTATAAGAGACAAAAGAATCACAGACAAAGTAATTTGAAGTAAACAAGATTATATTTATATAAAATAATATGAAGTGGACTGAAATAACACTTGTATTGCCGAATCGAATTGCTGACATAGCAATACAGCATTTTGTTCTGTGATCCTTCCTTTTTTTCCTTCTTAAAATGTACTAACCTGGTCACAGACATTGAATGTGGGCTAATAAAAAACAGAAAATATGATATGGAGAGAAAAACAATGTAAAAATTCAATTAAAATAAATATTAAAATTTCAAAACAATTTAAAGTAAGTGATTCAGCTACTTATCATAAAGCTATAGATACAATTTTACCTTCATAGGGATATTGGTTATTGTGGTTGAAGCCAGATCAAAGTGCTGCTGTACTAAAACGTTCAGTTTTGTAGCCAGATGCCGTCCAGCACGGACACTATGTACTTCACTGGTTAAGACTGGAGAAAGCTTAAAAAAAAAAAAAAAAAAAAGAACAGAATGTACAGTATCAATGTTTTCAATCATCAAAATTTTAAGCTTGGTGACTTGCATCACCAAGTTAAACAGAAAACGTGATGTATGGTTCCTTAGAAGGATATAAACAGTTTAAAGTCATCTTAGGTGCAGTGATGTTATATAGAACACTTTGGTTCAGTTAGTCATCATAACTTTATCAAACACCCTGAACACCAGAGAGTTGTTAAACTGTGACCCTTCCTGCCAATAAGAGGCCACCTCAGTGCATGAGACTAGAATCCAAGAACTCCTGAGTTCTAATCTCAGCTCTGCCACTGATCTGTCATAGGGCCTGAGGTAAGTCTGTCTCCCTTTCCCAATCTGTAAAGTGGGGACAGTAGTCTTTTATCCATCTACCTCATGTGTATGTTTCATATACACTTGTATAACATTCTGAAGAGATAAAGTGCTATATGTCATGAGCTGATATAATGAGCTGCAAGGAAGTCCTGTCTAATTTTCCTTGGCCAGAGGACTGTGTTATAGAGGGGAACCTCAGAATATGGTGAAGGAGTAAGAGTACTCTCTGCTTCTCACACCCATTGCATAAATATTTAATACTCTGTACAAGGGCTTTGTGAAGTTTATAAAGCATTTGGAGGTTCTCTGGGAGAAAAGGTATTATATTTATTTTTACTCCTACAATGAAATATAGGGTTGGATTTATTTCATGTTCAGAATGACAGTTTAAAAAATAAATCTGCAGATTTTTTTCGCACTTTCAATTAACCCAATAGTTTCACTTTAGTCTGGCCATTTTAAAGGGACGCTGTCAAACTAGAAAGCTTCTTATATATATATATATATATATATATATATATATATATATATATATATACTT